GGGCGTTCCAAGTTCGATTCAAAACAAGAACTCTCGGCAAATAATTACATTGATTTCAACCAATCGAACGTGATTAATACACAAATGGCATACCTCTTAGCCTCATCCTGTGCTTTCTGTTGTTCCGGGTTTTGCTGATTGCCCTGCATGCGAGATAATAAGCCACCAAGTGACATCATCACTCTCTTCGAACAAATCGAGACACTAAGGTGAAGAACATTTACCGTACCGTGCCATGCCGAGCCATGAGCTCCTGCATTCTCCTTTGTCTGATAGCTTCTAATTCAGGGTCAGCCTACAATGCAGTAAGTAAAGGGCACCAAAACATAAATTAGACATTTCAACCAAGGAGATCACTGTATCAAAAATCATAGCAGAGATTGAAATTACATACAGAAAATGATGTTTCTGGCTACAGATTCAATCTACAAACCTGGATGAAAGTACTTCATCATGGCATCACACCAACCAGAGAACCAAACACATGCAAGAAAAAGTGTATGTACTCTATTCAGAGATCTCAATGATCCAGTCCACTGATAGAAATTTACCCTTTTCCTCTGTGATTTCGATAATCTGATGTATACAAGTTGCAAAGTTCAGGAACAAGATACTCTATTTATTCCAGAGACGCAAGTGCAATTCAAAGAACCGCAATTATAATTTCGGAAATATGACCAAAACATGCGAACAGACGGAGCATCTCGCCTATCCTAATGAACAAAATCACCAACCAAAATTCATCAGAAGTGAAACTACAGTTCGATAAAGGTGCTGTAAACGTTCCACAACTGGAAAAAGGTACAAAAGGGCATAATTTCCATATAAAATCAAGTAAAATTTCAGTTCTTCCTTCGACAAAATTTGGTGAAAACCCCATAAAACTCGGGCTGATTGCAGAGAAAATTGCACAGAAACGAGGAAGAAAGAAAACGAGAGCCAAGAAACTCAACGATTATTACATAATCTCTCAAGTCTCACCATGGCTGAAGCCTTTTCTCGTCACCGAATCGCAACGCTCACGGGATTCGAACACCAGCAGAGTTGCAACAATGAAAATGGTGGCGTCGCGTATCCAAGACGCGATCTCAGTAAGGGTGGGCGTTTCGGTAAATGTTTGGGACGGAATAAATCGGTTCGGTTCTTTCGGTTTTACAAAAATAGGTACCTATCGAATTTTTTTATTGTATTCGGTTCGGTTTCGGTATCGGTTCGGTTCGGTTACAGGTTTTATTAAAAAAATGATAGATTTCCTTTAAAAATATTCGGTTTTTCGAGATTTTTAAAGTTCGGTTTGGTTCGGTTGGGTTTTGAAAAAATTCGGTTCTCTAAAAATGGTACCGTTTGGAAAATAACAGCGGTTTCGGATCGGAAAAAATACCGTTTTAACGGTTCGGTTTGGTCCGGTTCCGAAAAACCGAACCGAAACACCCAGCCCTAGATCTCAGTATACTTTTATCGCCTTTTTAATATTAACCTCTACTTTTTTAGATCCTTGTAAATTATAACCGAAGCTTATAAATTTCACAACTTAACCCCCTATTTCCCTCTGATGTATAAAGCACACCCAGATTTCTGCTACCGCTGCGCCATCGATGACTCGGCTCTTGACGACACCGCTTTTCTCCCCGTCTAAAACACAGGTAAACCAAATCTCTCTTCGTATATGTACGTATATTTGTATATATATCAGTGTATAATGGGTATTGCGCTCTCTCTCTCTCTCTATATATATATATATACACACACACTCGTGGGCGTGGGCGTGGGCGCGAGCTTATGTTGTCGGATCATTTTTGCTTGCCACTTTCAGGTTTCAGCGGCATCATTGCTCCGGATTCTGAACGGACATCATAGACGGTAATTGTCGGAAACCCGTGTTTTTGGGTTTACATTTTTTTGGGTCTGAATCCTCGGGAGTCGATAGTTTTTCTGAAAAAGGTGTGATTTTGATACGTGGGTCCGGATTAAAATCCGAGTTTGGCTCATGCTCTTGGTTCGATCTGTCCTCGCATTCTGGATTTGTGGGTTCCTCACCGTATCACGATTCACAGTGTCTTGGTTCAAAAGAGAGTTCTCGGGTTTTTCGTAATGCATGTTCTATACCAGTAACATCAATGAACCCGATTATTGCGATTGCTCCTGGATTTTCAAATTGAACTTTACGAAGATCCATTGTATTCCGGATGCGCTACTTCAGATCTTTTAAAAAAAATGCCAACAATTTCTTTGTTCTCAACGCCCCGAAATATCCAGATGTAAATTTTTTTTTACATTTTCCACCTATTCCATTTCAGTTGGAAAATGCATATCTTTTGCCTCATGGTAGCCTGCTCCAGTCCCCTTGCGTTTGCCATGTTACTCTTGGTTGTTGGAGTTGATCTCAAGAAGAGAATTTCGAATTCCCTGATTTTCTAATAATTTGAATTTTCTTATGTTAAACCTAATCAATTGCATGCGCATAAACCAGTGAGAGATTTGCTGCTTTGCTTAAAGTCTTACTAGTTTGTATTGTCCTAAGTAATACATTCTGTTCTGAACCTCTTTTGAGTATACTTCAGTAGAAGTTCTGTTTTTTTTCTTCGGTTTCACAAGTTTTGGTTCGTAAAGATAAAGACGAATGATCTCCAGAAGGTAATTTTAATGTGGCCGATTTCCGAATGATCTTATTGTTTGATCACAGCCCTCTTTATCAGTTCAGCGAGATGTCACAAGATCATGTACGTTCATCCTCAACTACTGGCTCTGTTTCCGGGGTTAGAACGTTTTGCTCCCTCGATGGTATGTCTGGCATTTCCAATGCTGATTTTGTTTGTCTTAAATGGATTCATACCGAAATAGTAGCATTCAGGAACTAGGGTCATCGCCTTTGCTTTTCAGTGTTTTCCTTGTTGATGATGTTTGGCATATTAGCATGCCTAATTGGTGTAATTCTGTATGATATACATAATACAGTAAAATGTGCCTCTAGTAAAGATGTTTTGTCACGCAGGCTAAGCCTTTAGATTATGTAAATCCAACAAGGGAGGATCACCTCTATGATGCTGGAAGCACATCTATTGTAAACAAGCATCCTTCTTGACTATATAACTTCTGGAAACAGAAGATATCTCAGATTTTCATCTTACTTTCAGAATAGGGTTTAGCTTCTCATAGTCATGTTCACCATCTTGTTGTATCTCTTCTCTAACTTGCTTTCTGTATCCGAGGGAATCGCTTTACTACTACCCCATAGGTTAAAAGAGTGTTTGTAGCCTTCGTTCCGTAGACCATTGTGACCACAACTGTGTATCGGTGTATCTATAGATTGTTCAGATGGTAAATTTCTCTCTTTTAACTTGATTTCATTCCCATAGATTTATCAGCCAAGAAGTGTGTGCCATGCAATGCAAAGGATCTGCGTCCCATGACTGAAGAAAGTGCAAACAACCTACTTCAAAAGGTTCTTGTTCAAAGAACTTCAAATGATGAGACACACTCTCTATATTCCGACCTTATCACTCCATTTACAGGTTGCTGGATGGGATTTGGCTGATGAAAGTGGTGCGTTAAAGCTACATCGATCATGGAAAGTGAAAAGTTTCGTTAAAGGACTGGATTTCTTCAAACGGGTAGCTGATATCGCCGAAGCAGAAGGTATGATTATCATGTGGGCATACACATTTTTGGGAATTCTCTTCCGAAAAAAAAAATTCATAGTTCATGGTGATTCTGAAATCTTGTGAAGTAAAAATGCGTACTTCAATGCAGGTCACCACCCAGATTTGCATCTGGTTGGCTGGAACAATGTAAAAATCGAGATATGGACACATGCAGTAGGTGAGAAACTTCTCTTACCAGTTCTTTTTCTTTGTTGCTGGATGAAGAACTCTGGAACCCAGTGTTACTTCCAGACTAAAACCTTGGATTCAGAACTGTTCAATCTTCGGAAATCTGTGTCTGAAATCTGAAAGTTTCTGATAATATCTATCTATGGCCTTTCTCATAGGTGGTCTAACGGAGAATGACTTCATTCTGGCTGCTAAGATCAACGAGCTTGATATGGAAGATCTTCTGAGGAAGAAGAGAAGCACCGCCAAGTGAACACAGTCAATTTCAGACATGGAAGCTTTTAAGAGGAGGCGACTGAATCTTGTCTTCAATAAGCATATAATCTTAGCTCATGTGATGGACTCGTTATATCACCCCACATGATATGTATATAAATGGAGTGCCCTTTTTTCTTCTTTTAAGTTTTTGAATCGGGTCGAAGCCCTATGTTCTTGTTTTTTGGAGTGAATGACTGTTAAGGAATGAAGAATTTTATTGCAGAGACAATCTTGGATTTCAGATGTAATAACGTATTCTCTACAACCACACAGCTTCAGCAGCTGCTTGGTTCCAATATATACATTGAAGAATTGCGTGAATCTTTACGACATGCAATGTCTGTTCTTCCACCAGTTTTCTTCAGAGATATATATACACTCATACCACTGGACAAAAGCCAAGTCAACGAGTCAAGTCTTCTGAAGATGACGACCATGTCCGAGACAGAGAGCTCTCACTGCATATAACAAACATCAAAAGTAGGTTTCCAGGTCAAGAACTTGAACTTTACCATAGCAACAAAAAAAAAATCTTCAGTTCGAAAGTGTTGTGTACGAAATCACCTCCGGATCTTATCATACAGATCTCCTAGGGCACGGTAGAGAGTGGCAGCAGCTGGCGGCCTAGGCAACAAGCCGAGGAGTATGTCGGATGCAGTTATGGACTGACTTCCATAGAACCGTGAGTTCTCACTTGTTCGTGTTTTGAAGATACTTCCTTCAAGTGAGCATCCGACAAATGCACCTATTCATTTGCAAGTCAAAATATTTGGAATAACGTTACAGATTGCAATCGGCAAAGAAGGCTCTCGCCTACGAGATTCCATAATTAGAAGTTTCATCTTAGCATTTTTACTACAATAGCTACTTTCAGTAGGACTAAGAACAATCTGAACAAATATGGCATTTGAATGGATTTCCCAGATGAAATCTATAAGAGCTAAAGAGTTCATGGATACAGAATCATTAATTGTGTGCAGATGGAACGAGAAAAACAGCCTGAAGGAGGTCAAGGAGGAAATGAACTATTTACCAAAAGATTATACAAATTGAATATATATTGGTATTTTAAGGCATGGATGAAAAGGGGGTACCTTTACTGCAGCTGTAAGTGTAGCAAGCAGCATAACCACCATCACCAGCTCGGATATCTGCCTCAAGTGCCCGTCCTGTCACACCAACTGCTGCGCTTAAACCAGCTCCAACTACAAGATGGGTGTTACTCCCAAATGTTCTGATTGCTTCCTGTGTTCTTAGTACAATTATAAAATCTATCAACTCTCCTCCAGCCTGCAATGTCCAGGATTTGGTTTCAGATTCAGGGTAGCACAGAAATAACTCCAAAATCATTTTTTGTAAGTGATGATTGATACACTAGTGCCATTCATACTAGGAGATCAATTAAAATAGGAGTTCTAAGAGGGCATTACAGGCTGGCAATCACGAAGAAGTTGGTATTAGAAGGGGCAACAAAAACAGGAAAAAAATCGGTACAGGGTGAGATAATCGTGCATTAAGAAACAAAACTTTTACCCAATGTGACAAGTCAAGACAGACACATCGAGGAACTTTCCAGCTGATGACAAACGAACATGGTCAGAAGTGAGAAAGATGGATCAATTGCTACGAGTGAAAACTGTATAAGCCATGCAGGGAAAGTAGTGCAAAAAATGAAAAGAAAAGGATGATTCATGATTTACTACTGAATCATCAATTCCAAACAGTCGATTGAGGCAGTTCTCGAGGTTATTCAGGTCTTTGTTGAAAGACGAGATTGTGAATCAACTAGCTTAGACTTGAAAGATGAAAAAAAAAAAAACAATTCCGGTCCAAAAGAGTTAAGGAAAATGATATTCTAGGAAAAACGACATTGAAAATAAGAGGCTACTTTACCTGAGCACCCCATCCCGCACCAAACGAAGAGATAGCAGAGGGTGGAGACCAGGAGCCATCATCTCTACGAGCAACCACTAGTCCAGTCCCAATTTTGTATGTGACCATAACACCGACTCTGACAACCGAAATTATTGCAAGACCTTTTGCTTGTCTTAGAATGGCGTCTGGAATGGACTTCTCCGTTCTCGAAGAACCAACCTGGGAATAGATTTTTCAATAAAAACTGCAATTTATAGAGACTCAAATCCAAATTTCAGGAGGCAATTATGCAGTGCAAGATCTCACCTTGGTGATATAACCTCGAATAGTGTTTGTCGCCTTATAAATCTCATGTTCCATGGATTGAACCCAGGGGAAATTCACCCAAGACCTTAATGTACTAAGATCTGTCAAATCATGGGTTGGCAACTGAGCAGCCGGACTTACTTGGTCCATGAGATACGGCTGCACAGACTCCAACCTCACACAACACACATCACAAACCCTTTGTGGATCTGAAACACGGAATCTTGTCGGCAACAAACTCCTTCCTTTAGAACAATCCCTACAGAATATTCCTCCACAAAATCGACAGTGATGTCTGGAACACATGATTGGATGAAACCTCACACCACATAGCATACAAGCAGAGGCAGCACTATCAGGTAGCCACTTGGGTGGTTCTGTCTCCAGAATTTCTCTGGCATTACCGAAGTTGGCCTCTGTGAGGGTTTGTGCCATGTCTTGCCAAGCTCGTTCAAGAAGATGGCTTGACAAAAACGAAATGCCGCATCCCTCAAGGTCACCAGAAGTAAGAGCATTCACTTTGCCACGTGCTGCAAGTAACATATCCACAATCACATCCCACATCGTTAGTTCCTTCTCCACGTCAATGCATTGGTTCCATCCCATGTCACCCTCGGGAAAGTAACCACCATTGAAGCTTAATCCTCTAGTCCATTCCTCGTGATCGGTTTCTAACATGGGTGGGACAGAAACAGGTATCCAAACCCCGGTCTCTTCAGAAAGTGGCGTGTCATAGAAGAAGTATTTGCCACGCATTTGTTGCCTCAGTTCCTCTCTTTTTGTCTCATCATCTTCGTCTTTAGAGCCTTCACACGAGCCAGCTGCTTTGTCTCCAATCTCCAGGGTTCTCAGACTCCTGATATCACCGGAATCTATGCTACAAGATTCAACCCGAGAATCACGAATTTCTCGGGCCACCTCATCCTACAATCACCATCCAGGAACAAAGACATCGAAATCCATGTCGAGCTTAAAGTTCAAATCTTTTTCTGCCTGATTCTAGACATGGATAACTCTTACTTAGTAGACATAACTATAAATCCGCACAGAACCAAAGTACACAGACTGGTTAATTGAACACCAACCTTATCAGATTAAATAAGCTCAAAGTCACCCAAAAAAGGAAAATCGCAAGCCCAGAAGGATCGGGCATAGTTTTATATACTTTCCACAAAGACGACACCTAAGAGAACATCAATTCTCGTCATTCTAAGGTAAATTTAACGAGAAGTCAGCAGGAGCCACGACAGAATTTGGTTATCCAACATAAAATCTACGACAGAAGCCCTAAAAATTTGTTTGTTTGCCGAGAAAATTACACGGGAAAAAACGAAAAGGAAAAACGTTGGATAGATACGAATCGAATCTCACCATTTTCGAAAGCTTTTGCCTTTCTCTGGATCGCATAAACTTATCTTCGATTCTTACGATTTCAATCCTCGGGGGGAAATCCTAAACTTTGTGTTCCAGGAGATGATGACTATCACAATCCTGACATTGCCGGGACGCAACCGAATTATATAATTCAATATTGGTTCACAGTTTAGCCCTCATATTTTTACATTATTATACATTGGACCCATAATTTTATTACATACTTTTTCACCCATATCTTCCTTCCGATACAACTCGCAAAGCAAATCTGGAAGAACAGGCTCTTGCTGATTCGAGATTCTGGTAAACTAATCCCTTTGTCTCTTCCAATGTCTGCTGATATACGTACGTTAATGACGTTCTTATGGTATTCCCGGGATGAAATGAAATGAGCCAAAGAGATGCCGAGATTGGAAAGAACAAAAAAAAAAAAAAAAAAAAATCCTAAAGCATTGATTCTGTGTCATGACCAATTCTTGTCACTCAATTACAGCAAAAGACAGAATCCTGTCTAAAGCTCTCTAGTCCGCCGTTTGCAGAGTGGAGCCGAAAACTTCATGTCTTTAATTGTCGAAGAAGAATCTGTCTTGGAGTGCTGAAGCTATCTGATGCAAACATGTGTGTGTATGTCTGTATATCGGGATTTGGCACGGTGATCTGCGAAAACGAGGACCCGAGATCATGAATATACAGACCCGAGACCACTACTACGAAGAACATACGAGTCTAACAAACAGCACACACGTTTCCTGAAACGATCCATGAACAGTGGGCTTACAGACAAGAACAAGAACAAGAACAAGAAACTGCAGAAATGCAGGAGAGACAGGGCGTTTGATGCATACAGAGCCCTGATCATTATTTATACAGCATCGATGTTAGACACGAGTTGCTTGTTTCAGAGAAACCCAACATAACAGAGTTCAACCAATGGTCATGAGAAGATTGAAGCTCAAACTATGCATTGTTCGATAGGAACAAAGAAGAGGTGACAACTGAACCAACTCAACTGCATAATCCGAACTATCAGGAACACCTACGACTACGAGGAACCTTTCATTGAAGAGAATGCCGAAAAGCAAATGGCTTTTGATTGAATAAAGAGTTGACCTCAAAGAATGTCGGAAAAATTCTCATCTTGAGACCGGTTTCTGGAGCAGAGCCGTCAAGAAGACTTCACCGTTCTTCAACCCGCTAGTATCCGTCTTGTTCGCCACCGCCCATTTCACCTTCTTGTATCCCAATTTCCCAATCATTGGCGCGTAAACCTTGTCAAGGTCCACCCTTTTGCTAAAGAACCGATCCAACCAGAGAAACCCACCACCGCGAAGAACACGATCCACGTCGAAGAAGAAGAACTCCATCACTGTCACCGGAATCCACCGGTTCACGGCTCTTCCACACCGAACCAAGTCTACCACGCCGTCGAAAATCGGTAACCGCTGCTGCAACGGCACGTGCACAGGAACCAATCCCCTCAGCGCCACGGCCTCGCTGTACGGCGCGTTGAAGTTCATCGTCGTCGTCAGAACGGTGACATTTCGAGCCTTCATCGCCGCAGCAAACGACCCGGTTCCGCCCCCGATGTCGATCCCGAGCCGCAGGACGGAATTCGACGACTTTGCGATCTGGAGAAGCTGCGAGATCGGGAGATCGAGCTCGGATTTGTAAGATGAGAACTGGGATTTGGATTTCTCGAGGGATAGATCGAAACCCAAATCAGGGAATTTGGAGGTCAAGCAAGAGAAACTCTTGCAGGAGTAGTAAGACCATATTACATTCGAATCGGGATTCGTTACCGACGGATTCCGCTGCGTTCGGGAGAAGCAGCGGCGGCGAGGAAGTGGGTGACATCCTCGGAGGATGAGCTTCTCGACGAGGTCGGAATCTGAAGGGCAGAGAGAGAACGGCGTGTAGGTCATGTACTGGTGGAGAAGATCAGGGTGGTTATGGCAAGCGGAGGCGATGGGAGAGAGTTGAGAGTAGAGGAGGAGGTCCTTGGGAGGTGCGGCGGCGCGTGATGCCGACGCGTCGGTGGAGGAGGGTTTAGGTTTATCGGGTTGGTGAGTGGTGAGGTGGCTGATGGCGGCGCGAATGGTGTGGAGCTGTCGGAGGAGGTGGTCGGGGACAGGCGGAGCCGAAGGCCGGTTGACGGCGGACTGGAAGAAGGTGGCGGTGGAGGATAGATGGTAGAGAGAGAGGATATTGGTGGCAACCATGGCCACGAGGAGCAGCAAGTTCAGGCTCATAGTGAAACCCGCCATTTTTTCTGCAGATTTCACTTCCTCCTCAGCTTCTGCAACTCTCAAAGCTTCTCGATCTCAGCTCCTCAGTTCAGGGTTACTCGAATCTGGGAATCTGGCGATCTGAGCGAGGCTTAGATTTGGAACATATCTGGATTTATGAACAGAGATTCGTGGCTTCTAGGTTCTTGGCTTAAAGAGCTGGAAAAATCAGGGTTTCCAAGTGGGAAACTTGGAATTTGTCGGTTGGATTAGAGATTTTGGAAGGTAGTTAACACTCGAGAGAGAGTGTGAGATAGGCTTTTTACTGAGGACCAGAAATCAGAATTTTGGAGCCGAGACAGAGATAGATGCACATACACTATATATATGTGTATACATGTATCAAAATAAAAGGGTATAAGACAATCGTATCATTGATGAATTGCGCAAATCTTTGCATGGAAAAGGCAAAAATCATGGCCCAGAAGTCGTTCACACAGTAAAATTCTAGTCTTGTCTTTGCCACTCGATTGATTGTCACAACATAACGCATTCCATTGATCTGTCTGTTCAAAAATCTTGTCATTCTCTTTTTTCAAGGAATATATACTTGAAGGAAATTTTATGCTACAGAAGGTGGATGAAGTCAAAGGTTTTCCATATACAGTCCTAAAGGTTGAAGCTTTTTCGTTTATTTCAAATACCCCAAAGAAAAAAAAAAAGACATCTTTGAGGATTAGCCCGAGGAGAAACAGAGCTCAGTGTCCATGTCGGAATCTAGGTCAAGCTTCTCCTCTCTCTTTCCTCCATCCTCCTCATCTTCACCCGTCTCTCTCCATCTTTCTCATCTTCTTCGACGCCTTAGTTTCGTCTTTCGAATCGAGAGCTGTTCGAGATCCAGACAAGCGCTAAGGCGGACAAGGAACAATCGGATCATCAAGTGCTACGGGATTCGTACCAGATCCCAATGTTCGTCTAACCCTAGACGCCGATGGTGTCGTATCAAAGTTCTCGACGCCTCCTGTTTCAACAAGACCGAAGCTTGGCGACTTCCCAACCAAGCATTTCTCTGCAACCCCTAACCCTGGGATCGATTTAGGGTTTCAGTTACTGAACTCGGCGTCGACGGGCTTCTTTGCTGGAATTTTCCGGCAACACAGAGGCATGTTTTTGTTTATTTCCCCCCTAATCTTTCTTGTTTTTTCGTAACACCCATTGGATTGTTCATTGTCTCGGGCGTCCTGTCGTGTCTGAAAATCTTGACCCGTGTATCGACTGAAACTCGAAAGATGCTTCCTTTGGGTTGATTCGATGTTTCGTTCTGGTGAGATCGGTACGCTAATCTGGACAACGATTTGTGCAAATGTTGGTGCTTGTTCCTCCTTGATATCATTCAATCAGTTTATTTTCTATTCAATCTCCAAAACTGTGGCCTTACTCTGTGATAATTTTGCATATCAATAATGTCAGTAAGGGCTCTAGTACAAGATCAGTTCTTGAAAGTAAGATACATTTCTTTCTCTTCATAGTTTTCCTTTTTCTGTCAACACTCTTGAGGTAAAACTCCCTCTGTATATGTGTGTAGGAGCAACGTGTGGAGAATGAAGCGTCCTTTCTCCGACGGGGAAAAAACCGAACATGAGATCACAGCTGTTTGGTCAGAAATCTTTTAGCAGCAGCCCTCATATCCTCGTACTGGTCGCAGCCGTCGAAGAACTCCACGAGCTTCATCAGCTCCCGGTCTTTCATATCGTCCACGAAAGGCTTTATGGGCAGACCGTTCTCCGGGTGAAGCGAGAAGGAAAATGGGTTGTCGTCGACCATCAGAACGTTCCCGAGGTCATTCCCCTCCACCAGAGATAAGTCCTTCACGTATTTTCCCGTCACCACTTCCTTGCACGAGTCCCTGTACAGCCGTTGGGATATAACGTGTTTCATGTCCAGCTTGTCCAAAACCTGTGAAGCGTATTCCGATATCCCGGCCGTGAAGATCGCCACCTTGAAGTTTTCGCCGATTCTCTCCAAGAACTTGTCGAGGCCCGGACGCTTCACCACAAAGACCGGTATAACCATCCCTTCGGTTCTCACCCTGACCATGAAATCGAACTTAACTTTTGGTGGCTGCACTGTCGAGTGGACCAACGTCTCGTCCAAGTCGAGAACGACCGTCCTTAATTTCTTGCTCGTAGATTCCACCAGCAGCGGCGGAAAAGAGATTTTCTCCGATTTCTTGCAGCCTTGCTTTGCGGAAGCGGACGCACCAAAGAGTCTGGAGAAACACCGGAGAAGGCGGCTATGGAAAGTGAAGATGGACTTGTGGAGGGACGCCAGGAAGGAGCCGGCGGCCACCGCAGTGGCTGCAGCCGAGCTACTAGACGGCCGATATGTCCCGAAATTTCCTTCGGAAGCCATCGATGATCTCTTTCCCGGGTTTAGGGTTTAGAGTTTCGGATGAATTAAAACGAACTGCGGCCAAGGAAGCAAGTTTTTGATGCTGAGACCAAACTGAGCATATGGTAAAGATTTTTTATATATATAAATGTAGGTTTGGTAGTAACTATCATAAAGCTCTCTTCTTTTTTTTAAACTGAAAACCCTTTTACAAATGGTGTAGCTTTAGTTTGTTTATGGTGGGATTTAGTGGTAAATCTTAATCCAATGTTAGGGTTATTTTTGGCAATATACAGTTTGGAAATTGGAGCACACAATATGATGAATCATCAAAAGGGTATATTTGGTTTTTGGGTTTTCCATGTCTATAATTTATATTTTATGATCATATACTTGGTAGAGGGTTCGGTTAGGATACAGAGATTCTGAGATTATATAAAGGGATATTTTGTTAAGAGTATATTTTTGCTATTAAGAGTGTGCGGCCAACTAATTTAAAACTAAAATGATGCAGAAAGTTATTTTTAACTTAAGTTTGGGGCTGGTTAAAGATTAAAAATAAGGATTTTTTTTTACAATTATGCTATTTCATTTTTGCTAATATTAATATATTAGAGCTGTATGGAGAATTAGTTTGATTGTGCATTGAAACTAAAGCTTAGATACCATTCGGAGAAATGTAATCGAATTTGGGAAATTTTCGGATTATAAAAAAAAATATCGAAATATTTTTCAATTTATCGTTCTCATAAAATCCCAATTTTTTTTGGATCTAGTAACCTACTCCATCTTTTTTATTTTAGCGTGATGTTTTAGAATAATTTTTTGTTTTAAAATAAAAGACGATTTCAGCTTCTCTATATATATTTTATATTTTATTCTATCATTAATAAAAGAGAAAACAGTTATTAAAAATCAATTAACCAAAAAAAATTGTTTTGGATAAGAATATTTTTTTTAATAAAGTTTAAAAAACATCTAAAATGGATAAGAGTAATTATGGAGGGAATTGGGATATATCAAGCGAGAATTTCGGGTATTTTGGGATTTTAAGATAACCAAAAATCGGGTATTATTTAAAAAAAAACATTGCTTAAAACATTAATAAGAAGAAAAACGTATAATCGTTTATTTTGGAGAACCCTAGGAAGAAAGAAAAGAGGAGCACGAAGTCAAAGAAAATGTCTGGAAATGAAGAAGGATCTAACCAAGAAGAAAGAGACCAGTCAACCCACGAATTTTATTGATATCACACCCAAGAAAAAAAAAATCCCACCTCAAAAAACGCGGTTTCTCCCCCAGCAATTCGAGTCAAAACCAGCAATGGCCGAGGCTAGTTGAAGGAAAGCTCGAAACCCATGAAATCAAATCTCTTTCCGGAAACCCATGAACCCTAGAGGTCGTAATCATCATCCTCTTCTTCTTAAGCACTAGCCCTTTTGTTGTTCGAATGGAGAATCGTAAAGGAGGGAACTTGAGCTTATCGAGTTCCGAAGCTTTGACCGCCACACTTTCTAACGCGATCCAAGCTCTGGGTCGCGGCTTCGATGTCACTTCCGACATTCGGTTGTTATACTGCAAAGGATCGCCTGGGTCGAGGCTTGTCCGAATCGAAGGGCAAAACAGAGATCTTGTTCTGCCCGATGGGTTCCTTCTTCCCGATGTTCCTGGTGATATTGAGTGCTCAAGAGGCAGGCGGAGTATTCAGAGAATCCCTGTTTGCAGCTTCCACGAGGTGATTTTGCCCGTTTTTTTCTTCTTCTGTCAAATCAGCTGCTTAAGGGTTTTTAATTTCAAGCGGTTTGGATAATTTGGTTCTGATGTTGAAATGCGTCTATACATACAGTGGCATGATACTTGATCTGTTATCGTGGAGCCAGTAGTTCATAATGCTTCTGTTTGCTTGTTCATTTCTTGCTTTAGCTCGGAAGAAAGTTGTAGATTTGGAATTTTGATCGTGTTTCTCATGTACCCTCTTATACAAAGTCCTGAGTGTAGTTCAGTACTCAGCCTGGATTACTTTCTAATCTTGGGAATTAGGGTCTCTGAAGCAATTTTTGCCATCTAGCCGCATCTGCATTTCTCAATCTTGGGCCTTTCGTCAATTTCAGAGAAAGTTCCTTAGAACTCAGCAGTGTGTTTCGGCTTCTGGACCGATAAATGCTCTTGATGGTTTTTGGTTTTCTTGGTAAAGATTGGCCTCTTGATACTGCATTCATCTGCAAGCTTACTCTTTTCGCTACCGAAATGAATCTTGGATGTATCTAATCTGTATGAACGAAACTGTATTATATATGAGCCTTTTTTACATGGAAGCTTCGGATTCTTGACATCGCAGATGGCCGAATACTTCAATGAGAGATCCGGTATCAAGGGGCGTATACCTCTAGGAAGCTTTAACGCAATGTTCAACTTCACGGGTTCTTGGAAAGATGATGCATCAGCCACAAAATCTCTGGCAATGGTCGGATATTTTATTCCACTCTATGAGGTGAAGTTGGCAAAGCTTACTTTGGTATTACACGACGAGATCAGGCGGGCCGTTCCTTCCTCATGGGATCCCTCTTCCTTAGCAAGGTATTTCTATAGTTCATTCGTTACTTGTAGTTTTATACTATCTTCTGATATTTGGTTTGTTTTCGGTTAAAGGAAATTTTCCTTCGTGCGACTTCTCTTATGATTCATCCTCTTTTGTTTCGCAGTTTTATTGAAAATTACGGCACACATATCGTGACTTCAGTAACCATCGGTGGGAGAGATGTGGTTTACATCAGGCAGCATCAATCTTCTCCATTGCCAGTTTCTGAAATTGAAAACTATGTCAATGACATGATGGAACACCGGTTTCAGGAATCAGAGGGTCAATCCAGTTCTGGCCACTTGAAATACAAGGACAAGGTTAGTAGTATCACATAATGACAATGAAAATTAGATTCTTTACTCTTTTTTTCTTTATTTCCTTTAATCTAATTCGGCTTATTATATGGACCAAAGGATAACAGTAACATATTATTTCTAAGTTCTAACACATGCCCTTTTCGCCTTCATGAGATTGAATCATCGGGCACAAACAATGCATCTTAGAGAGTGGGATTCAAAAGCTCTTCACTTCAGATATTTTACGACAGAACAGTATCCCGAATGAAATAATTTTTGTGCTGATGAAAGTTTATGTTTTTTTAAGTGAGGGGAACATATTAGCTGAAACAGATCTCTACTGTAGGATATTACAGTAATTTTCCGGAGAAGAGGAGGGGACGATCTAGAGCAGAGCCATGGCAGGTGGGCTGAAACCGTATCCACGGCTCCAGATGTAATCAACATGACGTTTACGCCCATTGTCTCTCTGCTCGAAGGTGTGCCCGGTCTTAGGCATTTAACACGTGCCATCGAACTCTACTTGGAATGTGAGTTCTATCAAAATCTTTGCGCTCACGCTTTAGCTTCAGAAACTTCATGCTGTCTCATATGATCGTTTTTCGCTATTTGGAGTTTAGTTCGTGTATTTTTTTTTGTCTGCAAAAGTGTGAGATTCGATCTTTCTGAGCAATTGCCATCTCATCTGAAACATAGAAGTGATAACTATTTTTATCTCTAACTTGAATTCTTTACATGAATATTTTTCAATTTTTACCAGATAAACCTCCTATAGAAGATTTGCAGTACTTCCTGGACTTCCAGATAGCTCGAGCTTGGGCTCCCGAGCAGAGTAACCTTCAACGGAAGGAGCCCGTTTGCCCGTCTCTTCAGTTCAGCTTAATGGGTCCGAAACTTTTCGTCAGCGCAGATCAGGTAAACCTCCATCTCGCTCACGAGCCCGAAAATTTCTTCACATTATCTTCACGTCATCACGTTGCTCATAATGCTCTATCGGTTTCCACGTGCAAAGAGACTAAGAATTTATCTCCGGGATTCAGGTCACGGTTGGGCGAAAACCCGTCACTGGACTCAGGCTGAGCCTGGAAGGAAGCAAGCAGAACCGGCTTGCCATCCATCTGCAACACTTGGTCTCTCTCCCCAAGATCCTTCAACCGCATTGGGACCCTCACGTGCCGATAGGTGCACCCAAATGGCAGGGACCAGAGGAGCAAGATAGCCGCTGGTTCGAGCCCATCAAGTGGAAGAACTTCTCTCACGTGAGCACGGCTCCGTTAGAACACACCGAGACACACATCGGAGACCTGTCCGGGGTCCACATCGTGACGGGAGCTCAGCTCGGGGTATGGGATTTCGGCTCCAAGAACGTCTTGCATCTGAAACTCCTCTTCTCGAAAGTTCCCGGGTGCACGATAAGGCGCTCAGTATGGGATCACAGCCCGAAGACGATGAATCAGCATTCAGGAAGACTCGAGATCGGAGGAGGGTCGAGTTCGAGTTTGAGCGAAGAAAAGAGGGAAGAGAATACGTCCGGGCAAGGTGGGAAGCTGGGTAAGATCGTGGACTGGTCGGAGATGTTGAAGGGGCCGCAAGATTTGCCGGGGCATTGGATTGTGACCGGAGCTAAGCTTGGCGTCGAAAAGGGTAAGATTGTGTTGCGTGTTAAGTATTCCTTGTTGAATTATTGAAACTCTGATCAGAATCTCTTCTCTCTCTCTCGTTTTTTTTTTCTGGTTGATTTTTTTTTTGGGATGTCTCAGACAAAACAAGAGTTAGTGTTAGCATTGTTTTTTGGTACAGCTGATGTGAATGTACATGTTCTGCTTGGGTTTTTTTTTCGAAATCTAAAAAAACACTAAATTTGAAAAACAAACATTACATTTAAAATTCTAATTACATGGATTTGTTCATTTTAAAATTTATATTCTTCTAAATCAACCTTTATTTTTTTTAAAAAAATTAAATATTTTAGGCAGTTAGCAATTTACGTCGCACCCCCGATTGATAGCATTACAACCACTCCAACAAAAATATAAATATACACAATACACACATACGTATATATACAATTCACCCATACATGCGTGTATATATGTACATGTATGTATATACCCACTTACACATGTAATAATATGCTATATATATATATATATTAGTCACGCTGAAATATCATTATCTGTATACATAAATATACGTGATTTTGCACCCATTGATATTTTTGTTTAAACAAACGACCATAAATGATCCATTTGTTTTTTTTAAGCTTTAATTAAAGCACAAGTTTTCAAAACCCTAGAAACCAATTAATCATTGAGTTTCACGAATTACGATGCTAAATCCTCAAAGCTGTCTTATTATACGATCTCCATGTGAGGTTTACGTATGTATTAGATTAACCCTTACTCCAAGCAAGGAATAATTACAATGTTTATCGCTTAGCCAACACATACGGATTCTTACGTACGTGTCTGTGTGCGTATATGTGTATATATACACGTATATACGCGCGTACGTATTCCTAAAACAATAATGGTTTATATATATTATAAACAAGGTCGATTTATGATCTGATAAATTTATGAGATTTTACTGATTTCCTATAAAATTTACGATTATCGTGTGTATATATTGTTATTGAATTTTCTACTTTTAATGGATAGATGATATTGAGATTATGTATATGATTAACTATTTATATAAGAAATAATTTTGTCTACTTTTTTTTTTTATTATCTAGACGGCTACAAAGTTTATTTTATATAATATTCGATACATTTAAATCAGACATATTCCTATCGTAAGAAATACAAATATCAGTTGCATAATCCACCTTCCAATCCTTTAGCCGTAATTCATGCTTAGATATTCAATAAATTCGTATCCGTCATGACTGTTTTTTTATAAGATGCAAAAATTATATAAAATGAATCATGATTATAAATATTCTTATTTAAAAACAACTTGGCACGCAAGTCTGATTTACGAGATAATTAAGAATATTTGATATTAATTATATATATCACATAAATTCATCCCCAATATATTTTTTGTTGCGCTTTCATAATAAACCATGTATTATTATAAATTTTCTTTGTGTAATATATATTTTACGATTTTTGGTTAGAATAAATCAACAAATCAATTGCGAAAAGATTCTATATCCGAATATTCTATAACATTAAGAAAGTAATCAAATACACGAAATATCGAAATTCTTTCGGAAACCGAATGATCGGATTTGACCATCTTTCTTATTCGTTACCTTGATAGAAATTGTTTGCTCTTGAAAAAAATGAGAATTTATAAAAATTATCACAACATCGGAACCAAAACTCTCCATATTTATAATATAAATTAAAACGTGTAATCCCTAATTTATGTCATCGTATAATTATAATTAACTTTTCTATAATCTTCCGAGAGAGATACTATATAATATCTTAATTTCAAATTAAATTCATGATTGATTAGAAATAACACATGGTATTGAATATAATCTATTTTTTAAAAAAAAAAATCAACATAAGACGAAAACTACGTGACAGGTGGCCTACCCGAGAGAAGAAGCATATTACGTGACTCAAAATTGCAAATATATACGCCGAAGTCATTTTCACATTCTTTTTTATACTTATCATTGGCTTAAAACAGTGGAAAAGGGAATAAACCCTAATAATCTTACTTACTCCACGAATTTCCCAAAAATATTAAAATACTTTCGTCGTAGATCGATCCTTATTACAATTACAACCATATATATATATATAATATTTCCCATTTTTTGTTATTCGATTTTTTTAATATTTTAAAAATAATTATTAAATATAATCGCCCAAGTACCGGTCAAATGTATTTGTATTGATGTTATATATTTCGAATTTATTTGGTTTATTCTCTCCGGTTATATATATAATATGTATGTTCTCCAAACTATAAATTTTTAAGGAAAAAAAAAACTATCCACAGAATATGCAAGGATAAGTATAACCAGTCCCAGTAAATAATTGAGAAATGGGGATCTCCCCCAGCTCTGTTGGTTTGAGAGCTCACTTCTTGAACAAGAGGTCGTGGGTTCAACACCCAGGGTATGGAGATTTCCCCTCCGGCCACCTTCGGGTGTTTCACATCCCACACGTGTGGTGCCGGTTGTGCGTGTGGGTCGGGATTAGTCTGGGCCCTTTGGACCTAGGATTACCCGGTTATCAAAAAAAAAAAAATAATTGAGAAATTTTGACATATTTAAAAGAAAAACATAAATGCCACGTGGGACAAACAGGTCCACAGACATGCGCAAGAGAAACAAAACAAAGGGCAATTCGTAAAACCCGCCGAAGGATGCAGAGACTTCGATCAGTTGATGACATGATCCCTAAGCGGGTCCCACCGCTCCCCACGATGCCGTGAATTATATCAATAAAATTTAGTTATTTACATTTTCTTTTTGTATTTTTTTTCTCTTTCATTGTTTGACGCGAATTTAATTTTTTTGTCGTCTTTTTATGTATCAGAGGAAAAGCCGTGAGGTATACTGCCGCCCTTGTAGGCTTGTAGCTATTTGACATATATGCGTTTAACCGCATGATATTCACTTTCTGATTATAACTATGCAATTGTCGGTCCATTTATTTACCAATTTAATATTTTAATTCGACGGTCCAAATATATACATTGAAATATCAACTAATGATATTCTCGTGGCTGTTAGATGTTTAATATTTTTGAAGTAATTCGATGTTGGATTATAAGTTTTCTCCACAAATTTAAAGTTCGAATTCTCTCCCCGATTGAACTAACCAAATTTAAAGAGCATTTTTATCGCATTGAGTACCATATGAATTTAATTATCCATTAGGTTTGTCCTTTTAGAACTTCTCATTATGACTTTGGTTGATCACATCACTTTTCGATCTTATCTCATCTAAAATTAGGTTTTGACTTATGGCTTTCTTATCAAATTAAACCCAAATTCACGTCGTCTCTTTCGGATATATCTTGGTGGATATTATTTTGAATATAAAGCGGAGAAAAATAAGAAATTAGCCGTAACTAAAAAATATAAACAATTAAGGTTTAAACACAGACTATCTACTTATAATAATATTACATAAGATAAATGAGACAAAATCCAAATATAGTCTTACGAAAAACAATTTATAAATAGATATTATGCGGGACAAAACATAAAATAAAAAAATAATAATTATTTTTAGTATGCAGTTCATTGTAACCCTCTAATTCGGTTGCTATATATATATATATATATATATATATATATATATATATATAAGTATCTAGGACCATAAAGTACAAAAGAGAGCAACTTGGTAAGAAACTTACGAATTTTCCTGACACGAAGCCATCAAACATGACAAATATTACGATTCAACGATCTTTTAATTAACCCACCATTTCTCATACCATATATAATATATGACCGAGAAATCTACCGAAGATCACAAAATTTTAAAGGGTTTGAGGTGAGTTAGGTTAGAAACAAAACTCGTGTTGTTGGACATGCAAGATATTATCCGTATACTGTTCATTATAATGACATTGGTGCCAAAAAATTAATTTTTAAAATTTATTTAATTTTAAAATATTCTGAAACAATCGATAATTATATTTTTTTTCACAAAAGGATCATTGGTTTATTTTGTTATTTTGGGTAATAGGACTGGACCTTTGAGAACCACGTTTACAGTTTGCTGAAAATTTTAATCCATGCATAAAATGACATTTTTAAAAAATCGTTTGAAAAAGTCTTATATTTAGATATCATATTCCAAAATTTTTGTTAATTTCTTAATAACAAACTCAATTTTTTTCTTGAAAAAGGTAAAATAACAAATTTGAGATGATTTATTGTACCTAACATGTAATTTTTATATTATTATAAATAATTAATTTGGATACATTAAAATTTTAATAACACTCTCAATTTTTAAACGTCAAACTCAAATATTGTAATAAAAAACCTATTGCAAAACTAAAAACATCTTTGTCACTAAACTATGTTAGATTGTTATTTTGGATAATTGTATCCCAAAATCTAACGATATTTTCTTATTAAAAGTTTAAATCCAATTTCAAATTTTAAATTATGATCATTAATGAAAGAGTTATTGAAATGTACAATTTTTTTTTTGTTTTTTTGTTTCTAATAAGAAGATTGAAAGCAAATTAGTTAACTTGAAAAACATAGAGAAGTTTAAGTCGGGATATAACTTAGTGGAAATACATTTCTTCTTTGCAAGATTGATATGCACAAAAATATGATGAATATTTAAATGCTTGATTAGAAACTTATAATACTTAGGGAGTTGAATAATCAAAATTAGATTCGTACGAACTCATAACGGGTGAAAGCAAGTACCATTTCTTTTTAACCATTCACATCAAGTACATGATAAAGCTGAGTCATTCTCCGTACGTTAACTCACATAAACCGGACCGGTCCTAGAAAGGTTCTAAAGATTTTACGCAATAAATAAATTCTGACAATAAAGTTTAATATTAATTAGCAAATTGAATAATAATTAATTAATGATGACAATAATGTGAACCAAAACGTGGGCCACAAGAAACAGGACCTCATTTGTTGTTTGTTTGTACACGCGGATATCTAGCTTCCTTTTCCAGTAAAACACATTAAAAGCATAACTCCAAGTTTCCAATTATATTCCCAATAATTACAAAATTCGAATTCTAGATAATATTTCTATGAATTAATACATACACACTCTGAAATATAACATAATTTTAAAATATATTTTTTTCACAACGCGCAATTCATTTGGATTGAACATTGTATTTCGAATCTGAGCCTAGTAGTCATCGTACTTTTTTTTTTTAATTTGAATATTTTATTTGTATCGGTATATTAGCGAAAAAAAGACCAGAATTTTCGTTTCCTCTATTTATGAGAAATCAAATAAATACATACAATATATTTTTTTTAAAAGTGTGAGAACATATATCTATATACGAATACAGATACATACAGAGAAAGCTGGGGCCGCACTCAACGCCATTACGGTGACGTCATCTGATTCCTCACACACACAGAGCCTCCCCCATAGTCTAAGTTGTGTACCCTCTACGTTTTCTTTCTCCTTATATAAACCCCCTCCATTTCTTCTCCCCCTTTTCACTATTCCATTTTCCCCCAAACTTTTCAAATCCCCAAACCCTAATTTCTCCATTTCGCAAGCTCTGTTTTCGATCCTCTTTCGATTTTTCGGAAATGGCGGAGGAATTCGACGAATCCGAGGTGATTTTCTCCCACAATTTCTCCGATCATCGTCACCGGGAGGAGGATAATTCTCCGTTCGGTAATCGCCGCGAGAGCTCCGGCGATAAGAGACGGAGCAAGACGGCGGTGTTATCGAGCTCGTTGCCGGTGAATATACCATCGGGGAACATTTTCCGGAGGTACGTGGCGGCAGACGAATACTCCGATGAAGAATATTCGGACGGCGGAGGAGAGATCGTGCCGCCGCATGTGATCGTCGGGAGGAGGATTCAGGGACAAATGGCGTTCTCTGTTTGTACAGGGAACGGGAGAACTCTCAAGGGACGAGATCTGAGCCGGGTTCGGAATTCGGTTCTCAGGTTAACCGGTTTTTTGGAGGTCTGAACCGGTCCGATTCGGTATCCTAATTTTTCTTTTTATTTTTTTTTTGGATTTCTCAAAACCAATTAACAATTTGGGATAATTGCTTTCTCTGTGGTTTCTTCACACGTTTTTTCCAACATTATGCACTTTGGGAATATCAGATTAATTGTAACAAATTACAGAAAAAAAAGTTTGGGGTCATACTGTAATAAAAGATAATTCGTTGTTGGGATTCATATTATGCGTGTGTTTGGCAATTTTATTTTATTTTGGTTTTCCGAATTTTATTGGAAAATTTAAAACTATGAAATCTCGTGAGGTGGTCTGTGGATTAGGACAAAAACCCAAAAGACACAGCTGTTGTGTTGTGTATTGATTGAGAGAGAGAGAGCCGGTGATATCAAACCCCAAATGTATCAAAGAATTATAGAGTTCTTGTTATTTAACAATTAATTTTAAAATATTCTAAATCCTAAATGATTGAAAAGAACATCCCAATACTTTATTTTCACATAGAGCTTTCATATATATTATTTACTTCATTTAGAAATAAATCGGATATTTAATCTGACCCATTTTGTGCACGTGCAAGTGTATATATAATCTTTGATAGTGACGACATGATGACTTTATAATAAGTAATTTGTTTCCATATTCTTCAAGACCCGTGATTAAAAGATAAAAGACACTGTGGATCTCTCTAAATGAATTGAGAATTCTCCAAGTCATCCATTTATTTATTTTATTATTCTTTGTATATATACACACACACACATAACACATTTGTTTGTACTTTTTATCATTCGTGAAAAAACAACCTAATTTATTTTGAAATTGTTGTTTATTTCCATATTTAACCTCGTGGGAATTGGTAGTAATGGTATACTTTTTGTTTAGTATGCATGGATGCATGCATGCAATCATGTTCTTAGACAAAAAAAAGACATTTTCAAGAGTTTATTTATTCCTCCATCGTAGATTTAGAAGTTTTTTTTTATACATTGGGAACTTCCGTGACTATCTACCCTTACAAATGGAGACGAACTGGCTACCACCTGCGCCTAACAGTCCTCCACCGGATCTGGCCACCAGGCGCGTCTAACGCTCGGGCCGTAGTTAGGCTTAGACGTCTGCGGATCAAACCCCAAACACACGCACACAAGCCTGCAACACACACGTATGAGGTAAATCAGTCTATTATGATAGGCTGACAGACAAACAGGTCAGAGAAAGGGAGACGACAGGGTTCGATCCCCCACCTCAAGAAGTTGTCCCCTGCTCCCTACCAGCTGACCTGGCCCCGAAGGGCAAGAAGTTTTATTTTTTACATTTCAATTGCAACGTGTTTGAAGACAACACACACAGTATTTGACGGTGGTGCTATTTTATTATCGAATGTCTTGCATCCATACCTTTGCCTAACGTGGCTTTTATTTCTTATATTTTCATAACCAAGAAAATTGATAAAGACTGTCAACAACGATTATTTACTTGATAAACTGAGTTACTGCTGCAATAAGGAAAGGAACATTCCATATTCCATTTGATATGTTGGTAAAATAAAAATTACGGTGAAAACAAATATTATGCGAATAATCAAGTTTGGATGGTTCAATTGTTAAAAGACGAGGGATTTTTCTGATTTTTGAAGAGATATAATTGAATTAAATATTCGATAAACTTGAAAAAGTATGATAGCGAATATAAATAAATAGTCTTATGAGTGCGTGCGTGTGTCTACGTATAAATTGGTTTTTTTCCAATATGGTAATTTGGTATCAAGTGGGAAGAAATGTCTTGCCAAACCCAAACCAATCACACAATTTTATATTTTATATAAATAAAAAAAAGTGTAATATGGAAAAATAAAATAAAATGTCATGACGTGGACGAACAACTGGGCCACGTGTGTGCGTGTCAGGAGATAATAGATGATCATTGCTCACCAAAGACAAGAGAAGAGACCGTATAAAAAAAAAAAAAACTGTCCAAATCTTCACGTGTCTCGCTGTTAAGAAAATCTACACTCTCTCTCTCTCAGAACTGTTCTACACATTTAAGATTCGTTATAACACGACCAAAAAACCTGAGAGTCTCTTCCTAACTTCGTGATCTCCCTCTGGTGTTTCTGTTGCTTGGGACATACGCAAACTGGCTCAAGTCTGGTTTAGGATTACGAGATGACCTTCCACAACAACGAAAAAGAAAGAGAAAATATATAAAAGCACCATTTAAATACACCAACTCAACAGAATCACAGGAGAATTGGGTTTGTTTTTTACCTCTTGTGTTCGGAAAAAGTGTTTTGGACGTCTCTGAGGGGGGCTCTTCTTAGGCCGCTTGCTCGAGAACCAGAGCCAGAGTACCTGAAAGATGATATCGCTGACACGATTTTCCCCACTGATTTCTCCGCTATCTCCGAGTAATGCCCTAAGTGTGAAATGTTGGATCCGAACTTGGTTTCATCTCTGCTTTCGAACAATGTTTCCCCATTACCATCTTCACGGCATCCTGCGAGAGAACCTACTGTTATAGTGCAACCCGGATAGGAGGATATCATTTGAAGGGTCATTAGATGAATTCGTCAAGAACAGGAAAACCCATTCATTACCTGGAGAAGTTTCATCTGCTCGCAAATGCTTGGGGTTGAAATTTTCCTGAATCAGTAGAGAACACATTAACATATTGCACTGAGTAGTGGCAGAACTAGTGACAGAAGCATTCTATCTACCTTATGGAGGTTGTCATCTGTCAATGTTTTCCTTTTCCCCGTTGTAGCTTCTGAGCCGGTATTGCCTGGAATAGTTGAGAGAGGTGTAGCATTTTCAGGTGTATCTAAATCAGAAAGGGTCTCAAGAACAGATCGATTTTCGTTTTTATCATTCTGGTGGTTCCTCCTCTGGACGTTCGAATCAGTGAGAGCCCTGTTTGTTGCAAAGAGAACTCCATCTTTCCAGTTGTGATGGTCCTCAAAAACTCGCTTACGGTGTAAATGTGGACTTGTTCTGATATCCGTTGGTCTCTCTTCTCCTCGAGATGCCCTTTGCTCATTTATCTGAGTCTTAAAATCCATTTGCCGATCAATCATAGAGCAATCACTAAGATGTTTGCCCCTCTGCTTGTGGACAAAATATTTGCTTCTTACTATAACCTTCACGCCTTCTGTCTTCAGTCTCTCGACTTGCTCTTTGATGTTATGATGACCAGATTCTTGGTGATTCCCTACCATTCCATCACCATGGACTGTGACATGTAACGATGAGGAGTTACGGTGAAAATTTCAGAACATAATCTTCGATCAACCGTACAAATAAAGAAACTTTTACCATTATTTTCTGAACCTGATTCCTCTGCAACTTCTCTGCCAGATCCGTTCTCATCCTGAAGACAATAAAACCAGAATAAGCGGTAAGAATTTGAGAACTATAACTCCATCGCAACATCTCGATTCCTATTTCTAATAGCTTGCGAACTTGTTAACCTGGGATGCATTGTCTGATCTGTGGACAAACGATGGGGATGCCAACAAGTCACTTTCCTCGCTCAGGGAAGCCTCCACGACTGTTGTATTTTCCTCAGGAGTGCTTGAAGAGTCATCAGTAGGACTTGCAGATGTTGACGACATCCTAGGAGCCCTAAACTTTCTTTTTGCCTCAAGAGATGCAAAGCCTTTCGAACGTTAAGAACCACAGTTGGTCAAATATTTGTGATGAAAGCAAGTTATGCAGGCATCATTACCTTTAATCAAGTTCCCAAACATCATAAGACAATATCTCAGTGACAAGATTGTGAGAATGAAAGTTACGAGATGTAACAATAGAGGATACAGAAATACTTGGTCAGGAGATTTTTTTGGACAGGTAAATCTAGTTTTTTCTTCACACTTTCAGGCCTTAAAGTTTTGGGATGGCCAATGTTGTTGACGACCAGTTGAGGAGCAACATTCTCTATCTGTTCATTTTGGAAAGAAAGGCATTAGGAAAATACCATCGAAATACGGTACGAGCAGATGTTTGAATTATCTGCAAGTGTATGATGATTTATCTTGCATCTTAAGCCATTTTACTAGCATTTAGGAACAGAAAGCAACACAAACTAATGGCACTGAAATGAATGATATATTAAACCGCATAGCCAAAAAAAAAAATACGTTAGCATTCAAGAGGTAAGCTTCCAAGGTTCATGGCGAGTAAAAGGAGAGATAGGAGAGAACGAGAAAGTAATCAATATGGAAGTAGAAAGGACCTGGAATGGCATCTGCGTGAACGGATCGAGAATGCCTTGTGCTATACCCTTAGCAATATACTGTGGCAACATTGTGTAACAAATTAAGGAATTACCAAATCCATGCCATTGTAAGATCAATAGAAAAGAGTTTAGTCAAAGGATATGGGCCCAAGAACTCTGAATCTTCAACAAGACTCTCTGACATGACAGACAGATGTGCGATATCTTCAATTTTCGGGTCATAGACACGTTGATGCTTGAATGTCAATATGGCTTTCCTGAACGATTCCTCATAAAGAGGAGGAACTGAACCTGTGTTGTACTTTAAGTGCTTAATCACCTGTAACCAATTAGCCCCATACATTATATGTAAGGATTTCTTTTCTGGAGCTAATACTATAGAATTGGAGCAAACAAAGCAATAAAATGTTTGTATAAGTGAGTCTTCTGCGATATATTTACCCGGTCGTAACTTTTGAACCTTGTAATTAGAGCATGTGCTCTTTTGAGACCCATTCCTGGAAGTGACTGCAAATAATCACAACCACTCAGGATGCACATCTCGAGAAGCATCTGATTTGAAAATCCTGAAAAACTGAGGTCTTTATTCCGATGTAACATGGAAGCACGAAACTCTACGGCCTGACCAAACTTGTCCATCTTAAAAATAATCTGTTACAGAAACAATTAGCCAATTGGTGACAAAGATGACTGTGAAATCCGACCGATAAGAAACTGTATTCGATTTATACCAGGAAAAACACATAATGAAAACGATAAAACTGAATGATCTAATGCGAACAAGTTCTAGAACCACATACTCTTGGGCAGCCGAAAGGTATAAGATCAGAATCCTCAGTGATAACGGCATCGACTTGTTTTGTAACAGCTAAGAACGTCATTTGTGCATCGGCCTCATAGGGAGCAACAACGTAATCAACATTCTCCCGCTTTAGAACCTTCCATAAATATAACGATCATCTCAGAAACATTGACATCAAAAGCATAGTATAGTACAAACAACCTCAGTTTCCTACCTGTATCAACTCATGTGCAATAAAAGGTGAAATGTCTACGGCTTTTTGGTAACATTCATATGCAGCCTTGGAATTTCCATTTGCTTCATGCTCTATCGCACGCGCAAGATTTTCCTTTCTTGACCTGAACTTACATGTTAAGACAATGATGCTGTAGGGTGGAAATTGTCTTGACAAGGGAAACCATAACCAAGGCAAATGTATCTAGATTTCACTATGTAGTCGACTACTAAATGGTGAACAGCAGATGTCAACCAAGGCTCAGCATTACCTTGCACGCTTGTTCTCTTGTTCTAACTTCATTGGTAAAAAACCTCCATCAAAGACAAGAACAGGCCTCACTCCATGGTGGCGTAGTAAATTCACTCTATGCATACAGTATTCGATGTGCCTGAGAGAGCAGACCAGACATAAAATCCAGTTATCTCCCACAAATCCAGAATCAGAACAGTAACCAAGACAACAGACTACACATTCGTGTCAAACTTAGTTTGTTTTCAGTTGCTAGAGAAATGATGAACAGCCTATAGAACTACGACCCAGATGAATATTTCTTGTAAGCAAGATACTCCATGTATCCAGGATAATACCCAAACCCGAAAGAGGCAGCCATCGTTATGAATTGGGTCTGGTTGGAGGAAATAAGAGTTGAGAAAGTAAACTCCTTTCTATCTAGCGAAATCTCCATCCATAAACAAACCCTACAAGACGTTCCGAGGAATGCCAAAAACTTCAAAATCTCTCTAATACAGATACCAAAAACACAGTAAAGATTCATAAGAAAAAAAAAAGCGATCTTTTAAGGTATGACTAAGGGAAAAGGACGATTCAACTCGAGAATAACATACCCAATTCCTAAATCCGGGAAAAAGAATCAGCCCTCGAAGAACAAATAGAGGAAAAGACCCTAATCTCCGATTCAGATTCTAATTTTATCGAAAAATATTGAAACAAGAAGAGAGAGGATAGAACACCTGGAGGTGGGTATATTCTTGCAGAGCTCTCGGCTACAAGAGAGGGCACCTTTGTGAAGCCATGAATAAGTGTCGACAGCTACAGAACAGCCCTCGAGCTCCTTGATATTGATCGGCACCATTATCGATTTAAGCAATGGTAAGAGCCCTTGAATACCCATTTTCTTTTCAAATCTCGTTCCTAATTATTCCCTTCGTCGACCCCAATATGATCTGAGGAAATGACACGGAGCCCTTATTTCCCGTTGATGATGATAACCTCGGAATGTCAAGGGTTTTTGCCTGGAGCTTGTTCTCGATTTCGGCGGGAAAATATTTTGACGTAATTGGGGATATTTTATTGGTTGGCAGCGCTTCCCC